CCCCAAAACCCCAAAACCCCAAAACCCCAAAACCCCAAAACCCCAGAGACACAATAGAGGCTGAATAATATTTAAAATAAAGTACAATCTGGACAAGGAATGGCTCATTATTTTCCTTAGTAAACTAAAAACAAAATACTGTTAAATTAGTATCTAACCTTGGAAATTATTTATCAACAAAACTTAACTTCCTGAATTTATACATCTTTTGGAACTGCTTTGGTGCTTTCTCGTCCTCGGATAAGAGGTTTTGAAGAACCAAATAGTTCTTAAAAATATTTTGCTTGGGAACTTTAACAGTTTCAATAACTTCGATTTCTTCTTCAGAAATCCCTAATGCTTCCTTTGAAGAGATAACGAAATCGCTATGTTTCGTCTCCTCAAGGATCTGCATTAGCTCTTGTCGATTAAGAGGGATATTAGGTAAAAACTCCATGAAAAGATCAAGTCTCATCAGAGTTTTATAAATATTATACCTCGCATCTAGTAACTTTTTAATCGCTACTTTCATCTCCTCTCTGATCATCTTCATGGCTGGGAGCATGTTCTTAGTCCAATTATTAAACTCAACTTTGGTTTTCAACCAGCTCTGACGATAGTTAATGAATTCTCTAAAACTATCATTCAAAATCTATTACCTAACATGCTCGTCTGGATACTTCTCGTGCTGCTGATATTTCTTAAGCTTTAAATATTTTTGATACTCCGTATAATTCTTTGGAAAGTCTTCACAGGCATAAAAAGCTATCTTTAAGTGACTCCCAGATAAGATGTTCTCTAGGAAGCATTCAAAAGAGCTTTCTAGAACCTTCAATTTCTCTTGGCCGAAAGGTCCGTAGAGGTTTCGGACCTTCTCAACTGCCTTGACCACTGTGAGATCATCAGCATGACTTTCTTGGATCTTCTTCCTTACGTTATCTAAAAACTTGGAGTCGACACTTTGAGGGTTCTCTGAATCAGTTTTGTTATCAATAGCTTCATAATAAGCAAGACGGGTTTTATAATCAGAGACTTCTTTGGTCAGCATCTCTCATTTCTTCTCTAGCCGTGCTGCCCTTTCCTCTAGATCTCTATAGAACTTTTCCTTCCTCTCCCTGCACTTCTTTACTCTTGTGCTAATAGATGCCCTTTTCTTTTTGCTTTGTATGCTCATGTCAGCGTCACTTCTCAGTTTGGATAGATTATGTGTATTGATATCACCATCGGTTTGATCATTCCAAGGGATGTCTTCAATGTCATCCTTCATTTCTTCACTAAGGTAGAAGGGGAATTCAGCATTTATAGACTTGTCATTTTCCTTTAATTTCCTCCTCTGGGAAGGCCCCATGTGAGGTTCGCTATAGTTAATTCGCATTTACTTACTAAGAGGCCCTCAACCAATTATTTTCCCCATGCTTGGCTTGATGATGGTTGATGCCGGATGGGTCTAAAGGGATGTAATGAGAGTCATCAAAATCCTTTTCAATTCCTTCATGATCAAATCCAAAAGGATTATTTAGTTTCATGAATGGGTTTTCCCTCGATCTCGTCCAAACACTGCATCATGGGAGCAGACATCATGAAATTACTATCCTTCATTATAATTTTCTATATTATTCTGAGCCTCCGGGGTTTTGGGGTTTTGGGGTTTTGGGGTTTTGGGGTTTTGGGGTTTTGGGG